TTCTGGATCATTGTTAGGTTACCTAGACAAAGGCCTCCTTAAGATACCTTGGTGGTTTCTTTTAACGCTGCATCTTGTGAAGCCACCACAATTGGGATGCAAATGTGGAAGTAGAAGAAACCCAGATCTCACAGAACAGCAAAAAGTTGTCACAGTGTGTGTTCAGATGCGCCGTTTGATCTGGTGTCGTCACGCTTAAGAAATTGATTTTATATGCACTATCACACAGTCAACATCTGCCTCCCGTCCCCAGTCGTTGGTTTCCGGCTCAAAACCGCTTTAACTCGGAGTATTTTGTTGCCAGGTCCCAAAGTGGTGTTTTCTCACCTCTCCTGTTTAAAGCCGCATTTTTCCCCGAGTGATCGCTCCTCCGGTGTCAATCCACTTCCAGTTTAAACCCCCCCCCCACTCGAAAGCTGCCCAAGGCTTTTGCTTTTCGCCTGCCATTTGTTTAATGCATTGGCAGCGTGTGCATAGGCGGAGCTCTGCTACCGTGTTTAGAAAACCGTCATTTAAACAGTCACTTGTTTTAGAGTTTAGATGAGTTCGGGACCTCAAGGCGGCCATTTTTGGGTCAAACGTTTAAAGGGAAGTCTTTTGTTGGAGGGGTTGGATTGATTCGCCCTGGTGGTTCTGTGCATGCGCCATGGTAGTTTCGTAACCCAATTTCTATGGAGGGGCGCCTATGAGCATGCGAAAACTGAGAGAGGAAAAAACCCGCCACTGCACGCTCCCGCGTGTCAGTAGTATAGATGCCGGGGAGCAACATGACTGCGCAGTGAGGCGGTAAGTAAGGGAGGTAAGTGTGATCACGATTATCCAGATCAAATATATTCCAGTTAGAACCGGAGCAGTTTAACCCACTCTCAGCACGCCGTCTGACCGCACCCACAGACTGCTTCAGAAGAACAGAGTTTCTATACAGGGGGCCTCAAATCACAACTTTCCAGTCAAGCTGGCCGCCTGCTTGTCTCTCAGTCACCTACATAACTCAGCAACAAGAGAACTGGAGGACTTCCTTTCTTCATGCAATACCAAGGATCCATGACACTAAATGTACTGGCTCCTGTTGATACATTCCCATACTTGGAGACAAAAAGCAAACCCGCTGACTAAGGAAGGAAGATTTTTAGAAGAACACACAGTCTTTCCTGAAAACAAAGCTGCACAAAATACAGCACACTAAGAAGTGTGCTTTAAAAAGAACATAGCAAGTATGCCCTTCAGATGAAGAACAGGGAAGTCAGTAGGTGCTACCACTAGACACAGTGTACCAGGCACTGCACAGAACAAGTGACATGACCCTTGCCCAAGCAACATCACCCTTTGCCCAAACAACTTAAATCAAGGTTAGATGTGGAGGCATGACAGCCTCAATGTGAAATATATGTGCCTCTTATAACTCTGCAAACTGCATCAAGAAGTTACCTAGGAATGTGAATTTTAAACTGTCTCAACCACACCTTCACTTAAGTATAGAACCATCTCCTTAACAATATACCAGAAACATCTGTTTTCTGCATCACTGCAACCTTTTAAATCCACCTGTACTCAGGTACAGAGTACTAGCCATAATAAAAGGGGAACTTCTTTAGCCTGTTGAACATTTTATTTTATTCTTAGGAACAAAGTCCTTAAAGTACTTCATAACTTAACTGAAAACAATCTGTCTTCTCACTGGGAAGTCATCATGTTTCCCCAAAAATGCAGTAATGAAAACAGAAAAACACAAACTGCATTCACAAACATCAAAGAAATACTGACTTTACTGACCAATTTTTTAAAAAACTGACAAATTACTGACCAAGATGAAAAAACTGACTTTTACTGATTTTACTGACCATTTTCCACCCCTGCATCATGAACCTCTTTGCTGGAAAATAACACTTCTGCCTATAGCTCATGGGAACCAGTTTTTCCCAACTTGAGGATAAATTCAAGCTTGGATCGTCTCTTGTTGTATTTATATTTCCCCACATAGCCACACACACACAAAAATTCCATAAAGACTGTGCGTAGCTGCTTAAGAGTGGTGGGCTCCCAAGCTGAAAACGGTGACATATTTATGTCACCTGACTGATTTCTTCCCTCTTACAATAATAGCTGCCTGATGTGTAAGACACTATCTACAGTTTTTTTGGAAAAAAGCAAGTAAGGAAGTCTCACTTGGACTCAAGCCAGTGAGGAATGGGAGAAAGCCACTCCCCAGCCTGAAAGAGAATAAAAGGCCTGCTCTCAAGATGAGGTTGGACCACTCCAATCACAGGGAAAGTTCCATCATGGAACCAGATTCAAGGTGAAGCCTTTTCCACAGATATCAACAACAGCCATGCAGGCCTTCTCCCTGTTTCCAGGGTAATGTGAATAGGAATGTGACTAAGTTTCCTCAGAAATATATTATTTCCTAAGTAAAATATAAATGTCGCTTGTAAATACTACCTTGATGCAAGAACATGGTCCCGGGATCTTGATTTTGTAAGTATTCTTGAACAATCCAGCAAACTGGGCTAACCGTGGATCTGGCCTAACTGCTTCCAGTGCCAGAATCTGTGCATGCTGGAAGACTTTTGGATATTCAGAAGCTACGTTCTTACTAAATGCAAAGCAGGGCTATAGTTAGCACGGGGGCCACAGTGCGATGCCCCCCAAATCTCCCCCCCCCCGATCCCTCCTGGGAGCCTGGGGCAATGACTGTGCTTGCCTCTGCCAAGCTCCGATTTGACAAGACAGTAGGAACAGCATTTGAAAAAGACCCCCCACCACCACACCAGTCCTGGGCTCTTGGGCCTCAAGCAGGCCTGCCCTGTGAGCTGTGCTGCTTTCTGGCTGTGCCAGCTCAGCATGCCACAGCCTAATGCTCTGACAGCCTCAGCTCTGGCTGCCCATTCAGGCCATAAAGCCCTTGTGGCTTTGTGGCCATTGTCCACCTGGGGGCCGCTGAGCTTTGGCTTCCGGCCCTTCTGAGCATTCCTGAGTCATGGCTTGCCAGAAACATCAGGTCTGCAGGACCAAGAAGACACTTCGTTCCTCAGCAGCTGGGAGAGCAGGCAGCGGGATGGGCGAAGCACTCATCCATCCATTTCAACCCACTTCTCTTCTGCCATTATGGCTTAATTCTCAAGCAAGCAAGAAAAAAAGGTTATGATAGCCTTCAGAGGAAAAGAAGCTGATCCTGAACAATCCCTATTAATTCTTACAGCATCACCGCAGCACTTCCCTCTGCCTGAACCTTCCATTATGATAGCCTATTTGTATTCACATGGATTATCTGGACTTTTCCCGCTTTATCCAGGGAGGACAAATATTTCCTTTTCCGTCTCCTCCACTCTAGCTCTCTTTAAGTGTACAATGCTTTGCATGTGCAAGGTCCAAAGCTTCATTCCTCATATCTCCTGTTAAGAGGAAGTCAAACAGCAAGGCTGGAAAAGACCTCTGCTGGACCAAGTCAAGCTAAATGCAGTGGCCTTGATGGTTCACTTGCCTCACCGTCCAAATAATTATTGGTATCTTAAACAGGAAAAACAGAAGTTTTCTAAGACATTCTCTACTGCTCTTGTTTTTGTTTGAGAAACACATTTCCATTTGTATAAAGGCACTGTTACATAAACCAGTCAGTAGTAACAGATGCAACAATTCACACCAGAGCATTATTGCACATGCAATACCTCTTCCTCCCTTCTTTCTTTTTCAGCTGAACCAGGGCACAAAGCTGTACCTCTGCACAGCCATGAAAGAGCCTGTTTAATGACTTAAGGAGTAAGGAAAACAAGGAGACTAGCCCTGCCATTTTGAAGGTGGAGCTTAACTGCCTTCCCCCCCATTGCTTGCAGGACTCAGATAGTTGGCCTACAACTACCCTGCACCAGTGTTCCCTCTAAGCTGAGTTAGTGTGAGCTAGCTCACAGTTTTTTAGCCTCCGGCTCACACATTTTTGTCTTAGCTCAGGAACGATGCCTCCAAAGCAAACTACTTTATGCAGTAGCCAAATCGCTCGCTCACAGCTTTGATGCCAGTAGCTCACAAAGCAGAATTTTTGCTCACAAGATTCCACAGCTTAGAGGGAACATTGCCCTGCACTTTTCCTGATGAGTTGCATCAAATATTTTTTTTTTGGTTTTTTTGCATCCTGCTGGAAAAACAAAAGTCCTGGGAGTCCTATGAATTGTGCTCAAAAGGAGCACATCAAAATGCAGAAGCTTCCAAAAAACAGGGACATCCAGCAGGCGACATGTGTTCATGCTTCACTTTAGCTTCCACATTTTTTCCTCTGTGAAGGCATCCAGGCAGCATGTCTGAAGGCTCAGCAATTAAGGCCACAATCCCATGGACACCCTTAAGTGGAACTTACCTCTGAGGACTGGGTGGTGAGAGAGAAGAACTTGCAACCTTATTTAGCAACGAGCTACATAGTCCTATGAAGTAGGGCATTCTTTCAGTTTACAGATTAAAACGGAGATTAAAAATGGTGAATCAAAGCTGCTGCCACATAACATTAAGGATATGGGAGAGCAGGATTTTGAGAGAAGAAGGATCTGCAAACTACTGGCAGCAGCTTCTTCAAGGAATGGAGTTTGCTTGCTCCTGTTGTCCCACTTGGCAGTCTTCATCACAAATGGTTTGTTCACCTATTTACTGCATACTTAAACAGGTGGTATCTGGTTTGTTTAACCTGTAACTCCTTCCATTTCAGCACATTTCTCAGCTGCTTTTATGTACTCTATTGAGTTGTTGGCCCTGGACTATTGAATCATAAATATCACCTGCTGGGGTGGGGGTGTGTGTATGAATGCTTGTCAGAGCTTGTTAATTTTATTTCAGCTTTGTTAATTTTGCTTCCTCTGGCAAGAATTTAGCAGCCTTTATTCTCCACAAGAGAGCAGCAAGTTTATTTTAAAAGAATTGAAATTTTACTAATATCCTCTTTGAGGAACCGACCCGACCAAATAGACTATAACTGACAAAAACACAGGCAATGTGACAAGGAACATAAATAGCCTTACTTGACTCTGAAGCTCACTCTGCTGCTTAAGGCGCAGGTTCTCTGGAGTGTCTGCCACCATGGTAAAGGACTGCTTCGGGTAGTGTCTGCAAAAGGAAAACATGAGGTGGTGTTAAGTGGCTGCCCTTAATCTGGTTCAGTCAGCAGCAAACCCCCCCCCCCCAACACTAGTTCTGGCCATTTTTTGTCACTATGAACATGCTTCCAGGTTGTTCATCGGCTCCACCCAGTTTCTCTCTAGATGCTTTCATCTGTTTGACAGCATAGACATTTGCTCTCTATGAAGTGTCTCTATGACTGCTGCTTCCAGTAAATGGAGGATTATAAAGTATTGGAAAATGCAAAGGAAAATTCTGACAGTCCCATGAAACCCCACTTAATTGGATCAGGCTGCCACCCTGAAAATGGGTAAGATCAACAGTTGCTTGTACCCATGCATTATCTGCTGTGGCTTCCCACTGGGAGGAACGCCCTACCTTACATTTCTCTCATTCTGAAGAATTAGTAAAATGGAATGTTTGGGGAGATTTTTTTAATAAAGGGAACAAGATTGCAATTAATGCCTGAAATCCGAGGCACTTGTCCTTGTGCTCTTCACTGTATATATTATGCTGTTTTACTGCATCATCCTCCGATTTTGTAATCCTGCTTTTCCGTCTACTATACAATTTTCTGATGCATTCTCCTCAGTTTTACTGAATTGTTTATTCTATTACACTGCCCCCATTACATTGTTTTAATTGTGTAACCTGCCTTGAGCCTCAACAATAAATGTGAACTAGAAATGAATGAATGAAACTCATGGGCAATATGATCCTCATGGGTAAACACCCCCCTAACCCATGCGTTTAAGGTCTCATTTGTCCTAGAGAAAAGTGGGTTATAAATACATATATGAACAAATCCATTGTGGATTAGCTCACAGAGAACAATTCAAATTTAGCAGTCATATATACAGATAAGCAAGAAAGCTGGATGGCAACTAGTGTTGCAACTGCCTAAAAGAGAATATAAGAGCCCCCCCCCCCCCCCACCCCCCCCCCTCTCCCTGATTTCCTCTAAAAATGGAAATTGAGAGGGGGATTGAGGAAATTTATGTGACATTGTCTCAAAAGTGCATCACTCATCTGTTAAAAGCAGTGTTTAAACTAATATGGCTATATGCCATTAAACGTTTGTAAAACTGCTCTCTCTAAAGCCCGGCAATCCTTCAGACATCATACTGGAAAAAAATACTTTGAACAGTACAGAATACAGAGCATCTTCAGGTTTTTGGCTCAGCTTCGGAGCCCTGTCAAGCATCTAGCCCTTGCAACATAGTAAAAAAGCCTTTTGCTTCTCAAGTACCATAGCACAGATTCTTCTATCTTCTGCATCATGTGAAAAACTGACAAGTTAGTAGAAAACACACATGTAAGAAACAAACTACCATTTAACCCACTGTTCCCAACTTAACTTAACTTAACTGTGTGTATGTATAAGTCTGAGAAGGAAAGTTTCACTTGCATTTCATGAAGTGTGCCACATGAAAGTCAAGAGCCTGCTTGCAGGGAGGGCGGGGTATAAATTTGATAATAAATAAATAAAATAAGAAGCTTATTTTAGTTCATGCAAAACTTTCTTTTTGGGAATTCCACAAAGTTCAAAAAGTTCAGAATCAGAAACTATGGCTGTCAGAAACTGAGAAATAAGATGTATGATGTTTGAAAGATACATTGTTTACTGAGATGCAGTATATTAAAACTAATATTAATTCAGAATAGCTTGCTCTGTATATTTACTATGATACTTGTGGGCTGCTCCTATGCAAGTTTACTCAGAAGAAATCCCACTGGATTTGATCAAGCTCATTCTCAATTGTCCACAGGACTTTACCCTTATTATGGATGATGATGAAATACTATAAATAGCCAAATTACTGCAACCCCTTCATTACAGGAATATGTATTTTAAGCTCTCAGAAAATTTCTTCTATTTCCAGAGAGTAACGGATCAACACACCATTTAAACTTATATCATAAAACTTTCCTTTGCTACAATGTGGGCAGTTTCTATTTTCATCTTTTAAAGGTTTATGTCAAGTCAGTTAAATATATATATATAGTTGTTTGCTTCACTAAATGCAGCTCTGGCTCAAGAACTCAAGTTTCACAAAACAAGATAATATTACTTTTTCATTCCAAATTGGACAAATGCAGAGATTAGTTGCATGAGATTTTCATCTTGCATCTTGGGGCTCTGTTGACAATCACATAAAAACCTGCAGTGGACACATCAGTTTTGCTTCCAAGTGCACTAGAAGTATAAGGAATCCCTTTTTTCAGAACAGCTTTTAAAAAATCAGACAGGCTTAATGGAGAACTGGCTCAAATTTATCGGGTTTATCTGGCTGATAAAGGATTAATTACAAGCACTAATCTAGGAAAGAGGTAAACATGTTTATCCCTCAGATACACATACAGTTAAAGGCACTGAAGGCATTCCTTAGTATGTTTTGCATTAGAAATGTACCTTTCAGAAGGGCTCACATTTGAACCATTAACCTGCTGTAAACAATCAGTCAAGGATGGGGAAGACGACATCTTTGCTACAAGCACAGGAAAGAAGGATTTTGCCCAACGACATACAGTGGTCAGGTTTCTACACATTCTCCTAGCTCACCCAGACAACTCTCCTATGCCACAACACAAGCCTAAACTATGAATAAATACAACAACTTAGACACATTTCAATGCAAATTATCCAGACTGCTTAATTGGGAAATATTGATATTATAATGGGGGGAGGGGCAGGGGCAAGACAGCCAACCAAAACTGTTAACATACTCAAAATCTTAGTGTGTGAAAAATTATATTTTGAGAGAAGATGGCAGCGAAGACACTTGAACCAAGTCCTCCAAAGAAACACAGCTGTTCACTGGGTAAAACCAAGTTCTGGAAACTATATTTTTACTGCTGGAAGGGTGTCCAGCAGCACAGAAGAGGTAGAGGTAATTTGCCTTCCCCCCTCTACATTCCAAAGCAACCTGTAACACATCACAGCAGCATAACTAGGAAGAGAAAGTTACTGCACAAAGGATGTCCCCCCCCCACCCACACGCACTTTGTTCCCTGAAACAGAAGTTGGCACATTCCTCCTTACCCAACACTCAAAAAAGCTTTTGCTTTTTCTGACCTCCCAAATGAGATCTGCCTGGCACATTCAATGTTATCTTCTGGACACCAGGCCAAAGTCTGTCTTATTTGTCTGATGAAAGTTTCTCCCCCTTCCTTCTTTAGTTTCTTCCTTTTCTTTTGTGGTCCATTCCATGGTAACTCCTTTGTTGTGCTGTCCCTGGCCTGCTTTTAACCTGGTCTTAAGTTTAAAGCTTTTAATTCGTTTTAATGCTTTATTTTACTAGTGATTTGTAAGTCTCCACCTCTCTCTCTCACAACATGGGATCCAAAGCATAGAAACATTTAAAAATAAATACATTATCATGATTGTGCAAGGCTTTTTCAGTTAACTTAGCTGGTTAACTTAGTTAGGTTAGACAGTGTCATAGATGCAACAAACATGAAATTGAGCAAACTTCAGAGAACGGCGGAAGACAGGAAGTGATCTGGTCCATGGGGCCGCGAAGAGTCGGACTCGACTGTGCGACTGAACAACAACAAATAGCTACTACAGAAACAGATATGCCATGAGTTTGAGAAGTGGTAACTGAGTTAATGAGGAGGCAGCTTCCCTGATCTTAACTTGGGAGACATTTTCCCATGTAATTCTCTTCCTAAAGTACCACTCTTTGTGCTAGCGCATGATGAGAATTTACAAATAATTTAACCTTGCAAACATTAGGATGAAAGAAGATCCTTGTGTTGCATATGCCTCTCAAGTGCAACATCTGATGCAGATTCCTAAGCATTTCAACTTTCTCTTAAACCCCAATCCTCTTCCATAAAGTTTCTAGTCCTTCTAACTGCAGAAGGATGTTGAAAATGAAGCAACTGCTTGCTGAACTCAGATCATATTAAGGGCTTGGAGAAGCAGGGTCTTCACTGCTGTGTACAGCTACTTGTCTCTCCCTATAGCTAGCAGAATTAAGAACAAGCACACATCTACACATGTGCATAATTCTTCCGTGTCACAGAATCTGTGTTGCCTTGGAGCAAAATTTCCCAGCACAGTGCATGCAGAGCCTTGACTGGATCTAACAGAATAGCTCTTCAACTTCAGAGCTTGGGAATCTCAGCTGTCCTTGGGCTATATCAGTGAAACAGTCAAGCACTTGTCTCTCCCTCCCACTCTTGAATATTGTCAGTGTTGCTTCCTTGGCATGGGAAGAATTCACTGCCTTCTCGAGTGAGTGCCTCTGCTCAAGTTTGTCATGCTGAATGAACTGGGGGAGCAGTGATGACTCAGGAGAGGCAGGGTGGGAGATGGTTCCCCCTCACTTTGTTTTAAAGCTTCCCCATGGAACCTTAGGCCTTTTAATTCAGTACAATCCTACAGAGGAGATATGAAGCCAGAAAACTATTTCAGGCCATAAGAACATAAGAGAAGCCAATGTTGGATCAGGCCAATGGACCTTGGTTCATATCCCCACTCTGCCATGTAGCTTGCTGAGTGAGTCTGGGGCAAGTCACACCTTTAGCTTGAACCTACTTCACAATGTGGTTTTAAGGATAAAATGGGGAAGGAGAGAATCAGCTATGCTCCACTGAGCTCCTACCAGGAAGGGTGAGAGAAAAAATACATTTGCCTGTCTTGCTTATGCTGGGCTACCACAAAACCAAGCTGCAGTGAATTCCTACACCCACAGATCACCCTCCCCTTGCAAATACTACAGGAGTGTATGAGTGTTTTCCGGTTCCCACTAATCAACGGCTAAAATAAAACACTGAGAGGTTTCAAGTCTATTCAACTGTCATTTAAAGGAGTGAAGTTTCTGACCCAAGGAGAGAGTTCTAGAATTTTATATTTCCAAGGACCAGTGTAGTACTAGAAAGGCAACTAGAGAGGCAAACAACTTACACATATAGTGCTGCATACACACAACATCTCATGTAAGCTAAACAGCCTTGCTGGACAGGTGGCTTTAGCACAC